CTAATCCTGATGATAAAGCTAATCCTGATGGTGACCTGTACCATCTTCGTTCACTCGGCTCCCGTCAGTCGATGAACGTAGGGAAGACCGGAACGTGCGAAGATGGACCTGTACCAATTAAAGCAATTCATGATCGCAAGACCGCATACCAAGTTGGCAACATTAACAATGGCGATTACTAAGCCCATAGAAAACGTATTGAAACGTATCTTAATCCATCATTAAGTTATTAAGTATGACTTAAGAATTAAGTATAAATGAAGGAGTGCTGGTACTCGTATAGCCGTATCTTGCAGTGGACCCTCATCTCATGTCTAATTAAGAATCACGTCATGCCCACCTCAGATACATTTGAGTACGTTATAAGATACATCGGCTTGTCGCTAGCTTTATCACTCGAGTGATTACCAGTGATTGCATAATTATTCCATCAGCGATGATTATGCCATTTGCGTGCCGGGATTATACAATTGTTATTCTCAAAGGGGGTCTTTGACACAAGCTTGTGAGAGACTACACGGTGCGGTAGCCGAACTACGTGCATACTATGCACGCAGTTTGAAACATTGACAAACTGCGCACCTATTCAAAAATGGAAGATGGAGAGGACAGGACTCCCAAAAGGATGAAAAGTATTGGAAATACAAGGTTAGTTTTTTTATCAGACAGAACAATTATGTGGCACTCGATCTCAATATAAGGTTTCCAAGGAGCTTTATTGTTCAAAATATACAGCGTTGCATCATATAATGTCTGTTTGTCGTAGTTTGACGTTTATTCAGCCCTTGTGTTTGCATCTTAATGATATATGATTGCTACATATGGGTTTACGTAATATAGTTTGTGTGTTAAACAGTTACAAGCTTTTAACGTGATCTGAAATATTTAGAAGCGTATACACGCACTTTGTGATTTCCGGCTAAAAAGGCGCGCAGTTTGTGTTTTATTACTTTTTTCTCTCATAATCATTTGATCTTATACAAATATTTTGTATTGCACTTGAAAACTACATTGAAATTTACCTGTGAAACAAAGCTCAAGTTTTTTTCTATTTCTTTGGAAAGTGTGACATCAACTCATGTGTCGGTAATGTGTCGGTAATCGAAATAAATATTTTAAAACTTACGTTCATCTGGACATAGTTTTCGCTATAACAATCATATAATCGCCACCAAATGGACGTATGAAACTATATTGAAAACACAGACTCCAACCTGTATGATGAAATGTTGATATGCGCGCACTTTGTCAGTGTTTCAAAATGCGTGCATGGTATGCACGCAGTTTGGGTACCACGCCGTTGACTACATCAATATCATTGCGGGACACACGGATAGAAACATCTACATAAATAAAGGTTAAGTACTGGGAGGTTTTGGATATGGGGTTTATCCAGAGGGAGATACATATCTACCTGAGGGACCGAAGGTACATGCATATCTTTCGAGGAATAAACTCCCAGATATGGAGGAATAAACCTCAAGATATGGAAGTTCTAAAAAAGGAAACCTCAAAATCAGGATACAGGATATACAGTGCTGGTATATATTAATTGATCAGTCGTTTAATTGGCATATTTTCTTGAATTTTAACATTTAATGTCCCAAACTCCCACAAACTGCAGAAAAGTATACCCCATAAATCATATTTACCAAAATGAGTGTCTCCAAGGCTTCACACCAGCGTATGCATAATGCATTTGTCATGAGTTTGAGCTGAAATTTCGCCAAAATGAAGTAGGCTAAGGGTAGTCTCTGCCAGGTTGGTTTATTGTGGTAAGCTTGTAAGTGCTCAGAAGCAAATAATTCATGTGCGCAAAATAATCAAATAATCTGATTGGTCTAAACATTGCTGCACATGCGCACAATGTGTGCCATGTTTTTTTCTAGTGATTTCGTTTCGTTTCATGGAGTTTGCGTTTCAGTGTAACTTCCGCAAAAATGGCGGACCATGGACAGAATTAACAGGTAAAATTACTTCGAAATTTCAAGAGAACTTTTTACCTATAAGAGCAAAACTTTTGTTTTATTTGTGCATTCTATCTATCAGATAAGAGTCTCAGGGGTATGTAGGCAAATTCATTTTGATAGGAGCACTCTGTTTAGTTTGAAAACGCACCCTTAATTATTATATATCAGCACTGTATCTTACCATATTATCTCAGTAAAACTCTACTTGGAATAGGATAAAGAGAGATACTGAGATAAATCAGAATGCATCAATGCCGTAGTAGCAATTCATCTGGTTATGATTCTCTTGATACTTCGCCATGACGTACGGTGTATACTCGTTAAGGTCGTTAAGAAGCTTCCTTGATAGCATCATTCACTCCTCATTTCTCAATCAATCTGACAAACAAACTCCCAAGAGAATTATAATATGGTAAATGTTCAATTACGAGATACATTTTTACATGTTTTTCTAAACCTCATGGCTGTTGATTGCACCTTGTTGAAATTTATTGTAGTGGTTACTAGCGATGCTGAACAGCACATTAGACTACATACGATTACGATCCCAACTGTTCTATCCAGTTTGATAATTTAGCCGTATAATAATTTAGTTATACGCTATGAATTGAAGTTCTGAAGTAAGCCGTGTTATTTAACTACGGTACATCTCACGTTGGACTAGAAAAACCCATTTTCACCGATGTTAAATCTATATTGGACAAAGGTTATGGACACTCGAGGATGGCGACTTAATATATGACTGAGTTGTAATGGAATTTGAGGGACAGCGGAAATTAGAGGGTGGTGCACTGGCAGAAGCTAATAAGCACATTTCAAATCAGAAAAAATTGTCTCGCGGAAAATTATTTTGGACCCCTTATTCAAAAAGTGGGCCCAAATTTCGAAAATTACCTACAAGCCACGCAAGATTTGCATTCACCGTGCGTCAATTTGAATTAAATGGGCCACATTTGTCATGTCATGAACCAACCCAAAAATTGGATGAGCGAGTGTGTGAGTAACATGTTTCTTTCTTCTATCACAAACAGTGTGCCTTTAATATTTGCGGCTAAAGCACACCAGGGAGCACTAACTCCCGAATTAACTAAGCTCTAAATAATGTCAAAGGAATATTCCTTGATGAGACTGAGACAATACAAATCGTTTTGTTTCATATAATAATGTGTATATTAATGACCCAAAAAGTAGCTGTAATAGTCTCTCGTGGGAGCTACAATATGTAATAAATAGTCTACCCCGGCTACTTATGAAATCATAAAACTTTCCGACTGCTATTCTGATTTTGAAGGTGAAGTGGTCGACCTGATTGGACGAGGTGTACCTAAATATTATTCATTAGTGTAAGAGTGAAGATGACGTCAAGTGTTGAAAATGGTTAAACCTCAAATTCAACTGACATAATAGATTGGAGGTAATCCAATGGTAATCAAGCATGTGTGATAAGAAATTACCACTGATTAAATCTACTCTAATGCTAAGAAAGTTGTGAATTAGATTGATTCAATGCTTTTTCTTAGGCAAGCTTTGTTGCTAAATCTTCTAATCAGTTAATTGTCACGTCGCATGATTATTCTTGAGGATTTATTATTTACGGTGTACTAAATTTCAGGAAACACGTTAACGTGTCATGGTTACTGAAATCCTAAGCTGATTTATGATCTAAAGTGATATAGGATTATTTTGACCGATTAAACAAATCTAGGGGTTCTGTATGTGCAATTAATTGTGAAAATGTTATCAAAATGAATGTATTTTAAAACATAGAATCAAAAGTAGGTCAACTAGCTTAAATACGTTACAAACAGGTATATTTCGGATTAGATCGATGGTAACCAGGTATTTGATGACAGTCGTGGAACATAAACTATTTTTAGTATAAAATGCCACTCTTTGAGGTATAAACACGTTTTACCTTACCAATAAAATGCAATCCAATTATTTGTACGATATAACGTGAGAGACTCACAATGCTATAAAGATCATATATACTGATCGATGAGATGTTACAAGCAATATGTACCCTCATCGTACACAACTTCTCGATAACACTATCGTGCACAGCTCTGGCATTTTTTCAAAAACGAGCATGCTGTGGTATATTAAATAGTTTACATGCTTAAAAATGGGGAACTTTGAAAATTAGTATTCTACACAACGCAAAAGTATATATATTTCGCAATTCGGGCTAATTCGGCCCGTCATATCACCGCATCTCATATTATTTATCATTGAGAGACAATATGCATTGTATGCCATAACAGTGCCCATTATTTTAGTCAATGGCTCTTATTTCCATTGAGCCTCCTGACGACCAGAATATTCAAGGATGAAACAACAAAAAGACAAATGAAATTTCTCAGTGGAGAAAACAATAAATCTCTATAAAACTGATTCATTTGACCATAAATTCTACAATGATAGTAACCAGCAGCTGAAACTGTAAATATGGAGTCCCAACAATTCCATGCCAACACATCCATTGTTCTTAGAGGAAACAATGAAATATTCAGATTATCAATTCCGAATAATTACCCTGGCATATGTGTTTTCTCATAATTTATTTATTTACATAATCCATATAACGAGAAGAAAACTGTAAATTAATATAACAGTTGGGTATCATCAGCTGGAGAATGAACATTTCATATACATAGTGTAAATTAAAGTCATTGGATTGCCGGGTGGTTAGCAGTTTCTAAGAGAGTTACGTTAGAATCTGGTACGTTTCTATATGCTTTAGTAGGATAAAATCACCAGGCCACGCAATGCAATTAGCGAAGTTAGAAACTCGGATCAATGAATAATCGAAAAAGATTTAGGAGAGATTACATTTCATGAGGAATTAACAGAGAATATACATCACATTGAGAGCTCGGATAACAATCATTTATGATTTCCTCGGGGACACTTGAGATTTTAGTGACGTATTTGTCAAGTTTACATGACTATATGTGATGGACACTGAGGCCACATCTGCCATATTGAAATGCCAATTTCCTAGAGATTGGATAAAAATAACTCCGAGGAGCTATCTATTGCGATGCGCACTCACATTACCAGGTGGAATTAAAACTAATGTATCTATTAGTATACGAGTCCAAGAATAATCATTCGCTGTTTTATTAATATCTGTGACAATATGAAAAAGGCATAAAAACGCATCACACACAGAGACATAGTAGCTGGATATATTCATAATCTATTACAAGGCACATCATTGTTTTTATATCAGAAACAAGGGTTTATATCATAAGCAAAATTATGTTTGCACCGGATCACATTAAAATGGTCAATACCAATAGTACGGTTTTTGGAAGAAAGAAACGGAAAAAACATCATTGTGTGAGTATTCTATTCAATTTGAACTATTCTGGCTTTCTCTATCCTTGTACTTCAATTTCGTTTTTTCCATTTGTGGGGTTACAAGTGGTGATAATTGTTAGGTACAAGGTGGTACAAAAATATGCTACCACCATCATGTTTCTTAACTTATTTGTCTGCATGATATCTAAATTTTTCTATAATACGTTGCAACTAGGCTCAATGGATCTTCTCCACAATAAATTTCAGATGACTAGCTCACTTAGATGAACTTGTATGAGCGTAACAAGATGTGCTCTAAACGTCGTTCATTCCTTTGCAAGCACACGTGGATTCTACACAAAAAATTCCACCTACCTTTTGTAACATAACTTTATTAATACTAATACTAATCTTGTGCTTCAAGGGAAAGAGCGAAAGTCCATTCAGTTAGTCACAAAATGAGTTTTCATTGATAAAGTTATATTCTAACTTATTTACAAATTTATGTTACAAAAGGTGGGTGGCAAATTTTATGTAAATGCCAGGTGTGTCTGAAAAGGAATAGATGACACGTCATGATCAAGTGTTCTGCTCATAAAGGTACCTCTAGTAATGCATCTCAAACTTCTTTCCGAGTTGCTCCATGGAATCCTGTTTTAATGTGCCAAAGTATAAGTCAGAATTTCCACAGACAAATAAGTTTGATGCAACATAGCACGAGCGGTTGGCATTTTTATGCCATGCTGTATTGACTTACTTTTTAGATACAATGATATTTTGGCATTCTACCATTCTCTACAATATGAATAAATTAAATTTTGGAAAATCATCACCTTGATCCATCAAGAGTATTTTTCTATTTTTGCTCACCAAACTTGATTTGCAAAATAACTTCGCAACCAGGTCCAGAACTGTGCTACATGTTAAATATTAAACTCAAATTATTTATCCACATTTAGACAAAGATACGACTTAAGGTGAATGATGTTTATAGCTCACAAATGTAACATTTTGAACTAAATTGCGGACTTAGTTCAAGATGAGGTTTCATGACAGAAGTGATACACTGGTTTAACATTAGTGATAGATTATCAGACCATTTACTAAAATTTCCTAGAATCTAAAGTCATAACCACCTCATGGTAAGAAATCACCATCCGTAGGAATTCTTCAATTAACTTCTCTGGCAATGAATATATTTACTTCAGAATGCTTCACAAATTTTAAAACAATAAAGATCTGGAGCTATTGGCAGGCATATATTTATATTCCATTAATTATCAAGACAGTTTCGGTGTTAAGTTTGTTCAAGATGACATTTGATGTGGTTTTATTTCAATATATCGATCCGCTAACAGTTTGAAATCTAAACAAACTACGTGATAAGTACTTGCTTATCGTTTACCTTGCAGTCGGAACGAGGGTTGATTTGGTCGCTGCATTCATCTGTCTTCAAATATCAAAACATGCCTATAATTGCAACCTTAAAATATACTCTTGTTATTAATCCTAAAAACATCGCCCCAGAATTGTAAAAATATTTTCATTTTTTTGTTATATGACCTGAAAATACAATTTCTATATTTGTAAGGAGAGACTAACAGCTTCTTGGTAAGTGTAAATTAATCGTCCAAATAACTCATTTCCCCAGGCCTATTCCAGAGTATTTGCATTGAATTGAGTTGTTTATGCGACGTCTGCTGTTCAAAAGTTGGAAATTAGATTTTGATAGATGTATTATTTAAATGTATTTATATTCCAAGCTGTTAGCACTAATCAGAAAAAGCCAAATTGTAAATACACAATCATAACATCATCTACATACATTTGTAATAATAATCGATATTGCCGTATGCTTAGCTTTATTAGGATAATTAATAAATACACACAGGTATAATTATATTATATGCTATACTATGAATATTTGATGGCCATGGAGGTTTCAAGGTCATCGTTTCCAAATATTCTTAACTAATATTATTTTCATCGTTTTCCATAAATGCATCTTATATGACCTTAATGTTTACATATTTTATTTCAGGAACAGGTGATTCCTACAAAATGGTCAATGTTGTTTAAAATGTTAATACTTTAGCTATAGAATATCCATTTCACATTTATTCCGTATTTTCGGCCTGGCCCCGGGGACAATTTATGGGGAAATATGATTTTTCTTTCATTCTTAGATCTCTCTGAAGTATGATATGACTATTAACACAATTGAAAAATAAGCAAATCGAGTTTTCTATCAAAGTCAAACTGTCAAAAGATTGTAAAAAATATCATATTGTGACATATTTCAGATAGATAGACAATTGCCCAATGGGATTTGGTACTCCGTGAATTGCCGCTTTGTAATTGTTTCTGTTTTTATCATGAAGTGGCACACTATTATATGGCAGCTGCTTAATCTATATCTGTATCATTTTATAGTGGCTTTATCTGATCACTGAATATATTAATGTACTAAAGCTTCTTCGCTCTATATATGTTATTAGTGTCAGAATGGAGAGTTATTATAGTTGTAGTGTTGCAAAAAGTCACAAAGGTCATGTATTGTTTCTTTAGTGAGAGTCATATTTATCTGGAGCATTCATCAGCGCTATTCATTTAGAATGGTTACTATAGTATAGTTCCTCATTAATTTCCCCCGAGTTTATGTAAAAATCACAACATCAATGAGTGAACCGTTTCTGTTATATATTCATATCCGGTAACATATACAGTAGTTTTTAGTATGCTGCAAGTTCCTTTTACATGACTCCATACTATACAGCTATTAAATCTTAATTGCTCTAATAGCTAGATATTTGCACGTTGCTTAGGTTTCACCTTTTAGTGATGTATATACACCGGTCATGGTAATGTACTTAGGATGGGAATAAGCTTTTGGTTATAATTGGTAATTTCCATAAACATACTGAATAGGAAATTATCTGTAAGTGTTTATTAAGAGCATGTGTGCGGCACTACGCATGATCTAATGGGGGGAAAGTTGTCTGCATCATTAAAAAAGTACAATCAGAGGCGCCATAGATTATCTCTGATAAGTGCTATAAGACTACGATATTGTGCTGTACATGTTTACTATAATGAATTATTATGAATTTCATCTGTGGCATTACTATGTGTAACAATTGTACAATACCTCATAATCATTTATATTTCATTTTTTAATTGGAAAAGTACGCAAGTCATCCTCCCCAAACCACACATCTGATATGCATCACCTCTGCATGGTGCTGCAACAGAACTGTCGGAAAAGTATAGTACAACTTATAGGATCGGTTATAATTTGGTAATCTCTTCAGTAAGTATGCCAGTTTGCCGTAGTAGTAGTATAGTATTTCTTGCAACTGAGTTGGCCAGACTGCCGACTCTCCAATGAAATATTTCCTACAACATCATTCCATCCATGTTTATGAAATGCTTGAAACTATGAGCCCTTGTTACGCCTCGTTCTCGATAAACATCTTCAATGAAAGGTATGCTTTCGGGATACTCACTAGTCCTCACCTAGTTACCCTGACGATATGTCAGTGTATCATGGCGGAACAACTTCCGGAATTTGAATTCGGTAATATATTTTTATTTCTCAATTTACACCTTAACTTAAAAGTCAGGTTTTGGATAATAATTTGGCCCAAGGTTAAGGAAGATAATCAAGTGGTTTTAGGTTCGGTTTGTTAACGAAGACGCAATTCACATATTTATACCTCACTTTTGTTGCAATGACGATCGGCATGAATATTGGCAATATTACACTGACGTAGAGCTATGATTACACTGACGAATGAAAAATATTATAGAGAAAGTTAATTTGTGGAATGTCATGGACATATGAAGCACGTATAAAAATCGGGTCGAATACACCAAGTAAAGAGATCAGCTCTTTACTTGGTGTTTTCGACTCTTAATTTTTATACATGTTTTATACATACATTTGTAAAGCATCTCGGTTTTTTGGAATAATGAGTTCCACCAGATTCCCTTTCCAGTAGGACATCCACCTGATCTTTTAGGAAGACCCTTATATATGCTTGGGTCCACTGAGATTGGGGCTATTTGAGGGGTATTCGTCATTGCTAAAATTTCGACAATTGATGATTTTAACAACTGTTGTGTCAAGCGATTCCATGCATGTTTGCAATATTTATGCACAGACTGCCAAGACACTGTTCTTTTTCATGATAAGGCTCATTAAGTGCTGCGTGAGCAAATGCACCGCGTGTAGTTAAAAAATAAAGCCTTGATCTCGCCAAAATAAACACGATTTCTTGAAGATTGGTAAAATATATTAGCACAACTCATCGATTAAATCTTTCAGAAAGCTTTGATTTTGTCCGCAATTACATCTTGGAGCTTCCCTCTACCCTACTACAATAGCAGCATTTGAATTTGCGACATCCATGACTTTCTGTAATAGTTTAACTATATATTCATGATTGTTAGTACCTAATATTACATTATTACAATGTTAAAATGGTTCACCAGTGTAACAACAGCTCCAAATCAAACATTCGTCAGTGTAACATTAATTTGTCGTTCAAAACAAAATAAAGAGGGACTAAACATGAATTGCGTCTTTGTTAACATATCAAACCTAAAACCATCAATGCATTCTCAAACAGACTCTTTAACTTATTTAACTTCGGGCCAAATCATGATCCACAGCATGACTTATAAGTATGTATCAATCGAGAACTAAAGTAATAAGAAATAAGAGTCCCGGAAGTTATTCCGGCATGATACACTGGCGTATCGTCTCGGTAACTAGATGAGGACCAGTGATACTGGCAAGTTGGCCTTAATTTATATACATCTTGATGATGTTCTGTTTTCTAACCCGACATTGGGATATTACGGTAATTTTTAAGAACTCCTCACAGTAGACTCCTAGTGTACCATTAGTCTTTTAGGGCTTAATTGGAATCAGTTTTAATACATCATCTCAATAATAATGCCAACAAGATTGATTTCGATGACATACTTTAATTTCAAATTGCACTAAGTGCGTTACAAATGCTTTGGGTAAGTGC